GAATTGATTTGGGAAAAGAGAACGTGTTTTCCATTTTTAATTTTTGGAAATGATTTTTCAAAATACCAAAAAGAACACATTTTCAACAACTTCAAAATAGACACTCAAAATACAAAATTCAAAACGAATTAAAAACTCAAAACGGAAAACTGAAACACGAAGAGAACGGCACCTAAGCTTTTAGTTGAGGTGGTTCAACAATTACTCCTTCCCCAGCTAAGAACTCGTGAACATTTCCATCAATTTCTATCGTGCTGCAACCGGGCTCTTTATTTAATCCCTTTTCCCTCATCCTCGTCCTCACTTCCATAACATTGTTCCATCTCCCCAAAGATGCATGAACATTTGACAGCTGAACATAACCAGCACCGTCTTTAGGATCAAGCTCTAAAATTTTTCGAGCAACGTATTCAGCCAATTCTACATCACCATGATTTCTACAAGCAGCCAAGAGAGACTGCCAAACAATTGGACTTTCTTTCACTGTCGATTTGTTCAGAAGTTCGTTAGCCTCGTTTAACAGACCACGTCGACCAAGTAAATCAACCAGACATCCATAATGCTCAATAGTAGGTTGAATTCCATAAACATGAACCATATGATCGAACATCATAAAACCCTCAGACACTAAACCTGCACGACTGCAAGCTGACAATATGCTAATAAAAGTGACCTCATTAGGCGTAAAACCATCAGAAACCAACTGATTGAACATTTTCAACGCGTGATGTCCAGAACCATGGATACTCAACCCTGCGATCATTGCATTCCATGTACTAATATCCTTCATCAATGTATTATCGAATACTTCTAAAGCCTTCTCAATGCACCCACATTTTGAATACATATCCACAAGACCAGTAGCTAGAAAACCTTCCACTTCGATTCTGTTCCTGTCAATGTAAGCATGAACCCACTTGCCTTGGCTTAAAGCTCCGATGCCAGCACAAGAAGATAGCACGTTTACGAGTGTACAATTATCAGGGCAGACCTTCAAACTCTGCATATCCTCAAAAAGCACCAAAACTTCACCAAAAGCACCAGCCTTGGCATATGCACTGATCATAGCATTCCAAGAAACGATATCTTTCACCAACATCACATCAAAAACATCCCTTGCCTCTTCAATCAACCCACAATTTGCATACCCGGAAACCATAAAATTCCAAGACTCCACATTTCTCAACGGCATTTCATCGAACAATTTACGCGCCAACTCTACCAATCCCATCTCTGCGTATACACTCAACAAAGCATTCCACGAAACAACATCATCTTTACACATCCTATCAAGCAAATTACGTGCCACTTTGAAGCATCCACATTTCGCATACATGTGAATCAAAGTATTGTTTATATACTCATCATCTCCAAGTCCATTCTTCAAGACAATTCCATGAATTTGTTTCCCTTCTTTACCTCTACAAACTCTAGCACAAGCTTTAAGAATAAACGTGAAAGTATATTTATCTGCATAAACTTCACTATCTTCACAAACCAATTTATGAAAGATGGTAAAGGCTAAAATTGGAGTCTCACTAGTTGCATATGCACGTATCATGGTATTATACATATACGAGTTGGGCCGGTGAACGTGGGCGAAAATGGATTCAGCGTAGGAAAGGCTGTGATAAGAGATGGTGGTGGCCGCCGTCACGAGGCGGCTCGCGGCGAAGGTTTGGTGAAAAAGGCCAGTTTTGAGCATGTAGGCATGAGCTTGGTGGAGTTGTGAAACGGAAGTGGCTGCTTCTGTGAATGAGAGAATTGGTGAAGAAGCCAAACTCGCAGGGACAGACATCGATTCAGTTGTAGATGTCCTGTGCTCGACTTAGTTTCGGCCAAAAATAAACATCGCTTGGTCGAAACCGTGGCAATGTCCAGGGGGTAAAAGTTACATTTTAGGTGATGTTAACTGATAGACGTGAAATTAAGTAATTTAATTAATTTAATAATATCTCTAATTTAATGTCACATTACTACCGTTTAGATTGCTGTTTTAACACCAGTAATATTAAATATCATTACTCGATAAAAAAATAGAACCAACCAAACTAAGTCGAAATTGGCCGGATCGATTTGATTCTAATTACATTTTAAGCGATTTTGATTGTAATACCTAGAATCAAGAATTAAGAATCGGTTCTAACTCAATTATTTTTTAATTAATTATGTTTATTTGGTGAATAAATTTAATTAGATATTTTTTTATATGAAGATGGAATTGATGAAGCTTATTGTTTTGATTTTTAATGTAATTATTTAGAGTTTGTTTGGGAGAGATTTTAATCCAATTAAAATTGAAAACATAGTCGTTATTGGGTCTCATTCGTCTAATAAAAGTCAACAATAACGGCTAATTTTTCAATTTTAATCCGATTTTAATTTCTACCAAACAAGCTCTTACTTTTATGATAAAAATAAAATTTGAATTTATAATTAAGAAAATTTAGTTATAGAATCGAACCAAAAGGATCCATTCTGATTTAGTTCTATAATTACCCACGGAATTAATGGTTCCAAAATTATTAATTCTCGATTTGGTTTCAATTCTCTTTGGGATCAAACTACTTTGAACCACAACCACCCCTGACCCAAATGGGGAAGCCACTACGGCTGGTCCGGGCTGAGCCGAGCAAAGACATGGCATGTAGATATGGCTCGGGGTAGATCAGCCAGCAAGCAGTGTAAATCACTAAATAAAATTACTTGTTTGTCACAAAGATCATGCTCAAGACTCAAGTAGGATATTCAACTTTATGATAAAGCTAGCTTCGTTAAACTCTTGAACCTTCTTGTGAATCGATCCACAATTTTAGTTTACATTCGATGTAACCCGACCTGCTTGGATCGTTGACCCAAATAGTGTAACAATAACTAGAGTAATAAAGTCTCAATGCTAGTGTATCCAATTTTCACTTTCAGTTCACTTGCATCACATATTTACAGAGCCATCAACTTTAACAGAGCAGGTTTGAACACGAATAAAGAAGATAGACATCATGACCGATCATGCCTCGTCCACTGTACATGAATCAAACATATAGCACATGGTTATTGAAATCTTATCTACTGCCTGATTAAACACACACTATATACAACCTACCATAGAATGGCATTAGAAAGCAAAATGCACATTCAGCAAAAGAATTAGCACAGAACCTACAATAGTCAAGTTCTCTCTGCCGGGGTTAGATGTCCTAACTGTTCAACAAGATGACTCACACTCCTCGCATTCCACCAATGTTGCCCAGGATCAACAGGTTGCTGTTCGTTTTTACTGCCATCTGTTCCTTCAGTTGAACCAGGATTTTCCGTAAGAAACTGTTCCCAGAATAGATCATTGATCCCTGTTCGCACATTGGATGTCATCTCAACTGCTTGTTCTTCTGCTGCGGAAACCTCCGGAACAATGCTAGTGTTCGGCTCAGCATTCATATCAATCCCTGAAATCTTGGACCCAACATCAACATTTAGTTGCGAGCAAGATACAGTAGGGCTATTTGCACAATTTATAGTTTCGTCCAACCCCTGCAATGAATTACATTGATCTAAACCTTGATTAACATCAAGTACTAGATTCTCCCAAAAGATAAGTGAAGACTCCAGCTGCTCCAATAATTCATCGTTCGAATTTAAAAGGGAAGTTGAATTAGAATTTTTTCCAGATTCTTCTATGTTGGCTTGACCATACAAGTAACTGCTTCTCGGAAGCCTTCTCTTTCTTTCATCAATTTCAACTTGAGGTACGGTGTTTAAAGCAAGTTCCGGTTTCTGTAAGGTTTGACCCAAAGAGGATAACATATTCTTGTGCTGCAGTTCCATATTTTGCATGCATTCCATCAAACCTTGCATTTGCACTTCAAGTTCTTGTTGCTCGAGTTTATGTTTCTGCAGTTCCAAATTCAATACTTCTTTATCGCACTTTAACCTCTCAATATCATCCTTATAGCCTTTCCTTTCTGATTTAGTTAGTGGAGGTAGAGAAGCAAGATTAGATGCAGAATGACTGTGAACCGGCTTACGTCTATGAATGTTCTTCAAAAGTTGTGGCTGACCTCTAACAAAATCCTCATTAGCAAATTCCCATTGTTCGGGATCAATTTTCCTGAATCCCTGTTTGACAAAAATGGGATATTAACATACAAACTGCATATTAATAACTGTGATCTTGCTTGATGTACTGTTCAACACTATCAACGAAACATGCGATTATTGAGTATACACTCTATGATTAACAGAGAAAAAATGCTTACATATGTATTTAGCTGCCTTACAAAACTGGAGAAGTTATTGTGCTTAAAGAACCTCGGCAGAAGATCCCTTGCAAATTCAAGAGGGTTCCATACGACAAAGCTATTGTTATTATTCCGACTCCATGACACGACAGACTCCGTGGAAGGATCATCTACCATCTCATACGTCTTTGCGAGGAAAGGCGGCAATGAACTCGAACCGCTTTGAGCTTCATCCATAGTGAATTTATTTCCCAATCACAATCCCTAAAATCTTTTGGCCTCAAAATAAGAGATATCAACAAGAACTGAGATCAACCAGGGCTGTACATTTTAACCAGTAAATGAAATTGAATTTCCTTCAAAGTTTGATAAAGATGAAATCTTTCTCCCCTTAAGGATAAATTCCATCGATTTGAAAACCAAAATGTGTGCCAAATTAACACAATATCAAAATTTAATCCTGGATTCCTACATGTAGTGCCAAATTCAATACGTACACGCCCCCCCTCCCCCACCCACGCCTCCACAAAAAAAAAAAAAAAAAAAAACCCCCGCCCCCCCCCCCCCCCCCACCCCTCCACAAAAAAAAAAAAAAAATCTCATGTAGTGAAATACCCACAATTTTAATTCAAAAACCCAAAAAATAAATAAATTTCCAACCTCTATTCTGTTCAAAATTCTAGCCGACCCCAAATTTATAGAGAACAAATCTTATTTGTTCTAGTTGTGTCAAATCCAAATCTTTTTTTTTTTGCCGAAATAACTTCAAATTCAACGAGTTCCCAATTTTCCCACCTCTATTTCCATTTGGAATTCCTCAAAATCCAATTCTTTTTACTACAAAAAATGGCAAATTGGACAAAACCCAAATGGATAACCAAATAAACTCCAATCAATCAAAGCTTCTCAGCAATAATAATCCCAGCATTTATACCCGATACCACAGAGAAAATTTTTTTTTTTTTAAAAAGAAAGGAAATCCAATTACTTACATATCAAAGTCGTTAGAACAGTGCCACTTTGTCTCAATCTTCAAGCAAAAGCATCAAATACAATAAAAACACATTCACATGGCCGCCGGAGATTTTTCAGGGGCTCAAAAGGGTCCAAAGATCGTCATTTGTTTTTTGAGTACATTCATGTTTGAATTTATATACGAGAAATGAGGAAAGAGGTCAGTAGGATGCGAGACTTTCTAGAATTTTATAACAGCCAGAGAATTATATTTTTGGAACCTTACCAGTTATAGCCCTATTTTCTGAAGGGTGTATTTTTTCAATTATATATTTTCCTATAAAATAATTATAAACGTATTTTAAAATTTTTACCTTATTTTTTAATCACCATTCCATAGTGCAATCTATTCAAAAATGATTATTCTAAAGGTACGGACACCCCGATGTAAGAGGTGATGTATCTCTAGCATCTCCTGATTGCATAGAATACCCTCGGATTTTAGAAAATGAAACAAATAGCCCATATTTTGGGTTAATTAATTAAATACAAAGCCTAAATGGATTTTGAAATGTAGACTTTACACTTTCTTTTGATTTTCTTGAAATCGTAAGTTTAGCAATAGTATAAGGATCACATTAGATCAGACAATTCAATTAAAAAAATTGAGAATGGCATAAAGTAAGACACTACGTTAACAAGATCCGAGAAAGAATTCTCAACCAGTAACTTCATGCCAACAATTGAAATAAGGCGAAGGGACAAGTGTTCTTCAAAAAGATTGAGCAGGCGCGTAGGAGGTGAATCAAGTTGAAAATGGAAGTCACCAAAAATTGGTGAAATGTTATCTGAACTAATACCAAATAGTTAAAGATATTTGAAATATGCCTACTATTATTTGGCTATGCTCAAAAGATTTGCTAGTAAGTAAGAATAAAGGTATATAAAAAAAAAAGAAAAAGAAAAAATGGTGTTTCTTTTTGTTACTATGTGTAATTGCTTATTTTGACAATAAATATTGTTTTTCTCTTAGATAAATAATTTCTTACTTATAAGTAAGACAAGAAAAAATATCTAAACATTTTTAAAATATTACTTATAAGTTAAAACAAACATGTTCTTTGTATTATTGATAATTCATTACAATTCTTTCAAACACATGGAGAAGATTGGATGGTTGGATATTGTCCCCATTTGCTAATTTTTTTTTTTAAGAATTCTAGTTTGAAAATTCAACGAGGCATGTGATAAGAACTATTTTTATATGCAAGATGTTATATTAAATAAATTTAAAATTTTTAACAAGCGATTAGAATCCTATTATTAGGTTATTAGGCGGGGTTGTGGATTCTATTGTATATTAAAATAATTAGAATTCATTATTTTTTGATGCAATATTTGCGTAATTCTATTCAGTGTATGAACTCAATACCCATATGCATATGTTGGCCGTCCCTATAGAGAAAAAAATCTAATTTTTCTTGGTCCGTTTCATAATCTTGGAATTTTTTGTTTGTCCTTCAGGGGTCTATACTCCAACTTTATACTTTGAAACGATACCAAATGAGATACGAGCGTTGAAAGATTGAAAGTTTAAGATTCAAAAACGGGATTGAAGTAGTCATTGTACATATAAGGAATTGGAGATTCAAAGTTTGATCACGCTTCCAGAATAATTCGACAATCCTTTTGTGGGATTTACTATGTTATAACGTGATAATAATTATTCAGTAGATATAGATATCTCGAGTCAATATTTATGAAAAAGTAAGAATTTTATTGTCTAATTTTACTAGTTTTTCCAACAACGAAAAGATCATAAACTTTGAAATCTGTAATATCCGTTGCTTCTATATGTTGATCTAAAAGTGCGTCCAAAGAATTTTTACGTATCGATAAGAAAATTAAAATAATGCTAAAATAAAAATTGAAAATAGCTCTGTGGATTTGAGTTTTCATAAAATTAAAGAGCTCATATGATTATGCCAATAGGAAAACCCTTATCCATAGAAAAAGTGATGCACATGCGTAGTGGGACGTTGATATTTGTCACGCGTTGGACATGTCCTTAGCGACCATTTTATATTAATTTTTTAACGTTAATTTATTGTCTTTTGGTCCGGTTTCGTGACGTTTGTGCTTTGGTGGTTTATCTGGAATCTTATTTTTCTATTGCTTGGGTTGCAAGATAATCGTGTGGCTTGGATTTGTCGACGCGGTTGTGACAATGATTATATTTTAATTAATATGTTAAAAACTCCACTGGATGTCAATTAAGCATAGTTTGATTCACACTATTTTCAAAATATATTTTTCTCTCTCTTCAGTAAAATAATATTACACGCAAATTCAAGAATTTTCCCCATTTTTAAATTACACGTTCTCTATCAATCTACTATTCTAAAATACATTTTTTTAAAAAATGTGGCTCAAATATGCTCTAAATAAGATAAGCGATATCAATAGATATTTTCAAGATATAACGCTCTTTTATCTCAAACGTGTGAACTGAAATCCTAACATGCTCTCTGAGAATTTTTTGTCATGTATGGTTGAATCACCAAAACGTGTAGAAAATTTTGAGAACGACAAATGTAGAATTTTTACAATCGAGAAACACAAGAAAGTCAATAGAAATTAAATATTTCTTCAAAAGAAAAGTGAAAATGACTATAGAAACTTCTCGTTGGAATGGAAATTATGACGAAGAAACATAGAGGTAATTTCTTGGTAACTATGTTTGATATAATTGTTAGCAAGATAAATTGATAGAAAAACGTACGTATGATTATGTCAACATTTTTCATTACCTTGATCGAATTTAATTTTTATCTTAATTTAGGTCACTTTAATTTTTTTCATCACGTTGTTAATTTGATGACAGACATACATTGACGTGTTCGTTACAATTAACGGTTATCTATGTGATCGTTAAAAAATGACTCGTAATATACGATATAATTGAAAAACTTATTTTACAAGTTGAACTTTCAACTATATGACTTCTTCTAGGTTTTTTGATAGACACATAAGATGACTGTTAGGGTGTGACCTTGTTTGTGTGAGCTTAAACAATGTGATGAAATTGAAAAGTGGCCTAATTGCGACCAAATTAAAGTGCATTAACCCAATCAATAAAAAAAATTAAAGTACAGTGATTCAATTGACATGAATTAAAGTATTGTGACCAAATTTAAAATTGACTCAAAGTATTATATTTCAACCCAATATATACTAATACTAGAGAATTGGCCCCTTTATTTTATTATCCGAAAACTCCTCTCTTTTTCTTTTTATTTCTTGTCAAAGTTGAAACTCGATATGTTGAATTACAACCCACAATTCTAGGCCTAGCGGCATTAGCAAGTCCATGCCTTCCGCACAAGCACTTCCTCTGAAGCCCGACTTTAGGTTAGATCTTTTCTAAGAAACCTCTCAAAACTTGTTTCGAGAGTTAAGTAACTTTTCCACCTACGCTATAGAATAATAAGTGTCTTTAGTATTGATTCTACTGAAAATTGTATTTAGAGATATTCAATCTCAAACTAGGAATGCATGATGGACATGAGCTGAACCTTTGAACTACCTTTAAAAGGTTGAAAAAGAAAAAAAAATTGTTTTCGTAGCCTCGTAGTACTTGTGCGTAAGTCTATAAATTAAACAATGAAAACGTACAAGTGTCAAGCATATACTAGACTTGAATATGTGTAATTCTATGAGAATTAGAACATTCATAAAAGGATTATACTATTTGTACATACTTCTTCTACTCCCTTTGTTAACAGATGAGATGTTGTGAAAAAATTATCGGCTGCAAAAATTATTTTTGGTTTAAACAGTCCAATGACGGAATGTTAAGCGACATTCTGTCAAAGAAGGTAAGATGTACACCAAGCAAGATTGTTCATAAAATACTAGAATGACCTGGTAGGATAAAATTTCTAATGGCCAATAACTCTTAGGGTGTGTTTGATGGACATTATCGAGGAAAAATGTATTTTAAATAGTGATATGATGGAAAATATGTGGTTAAAAGTAAAGAAAAATTATTGATGTGATTGAAAATATTATTTTATTGAAGAGTTGAAAATGAGTTTTGAAAAAATGTATTTTGAAAGAATGTGTACCAAATAGTGACTTAGCATGGTTAGAATACACGAAGAGGTGGGGGACTTGGAGCCTATAGACAAGTTATGATAGGACTCACTAAGAGAGGTCAGGGACCCTGACCACGGACATCGATGGCCAGGAGACAGATTTAGGATGTCGGGGTATCCTGTCCAAGTAGGCACAGGACCATCCTGATTGGCTAATATATCCTTGTGTGCATGCTAGGTCGTGGTCCCATATGTCTCCAGACTCCAGGTTGGGCCTGAGAGAGAATTGATATTATTAAGTACATTATAATCTCCCTGTCCATAAATCCTCACTGCTTTCCTAGAAACTACTACCCCTATACCCCACACCCACTCCACCCCCCTCTTTAAAAAGACTAAACACGTGTACAAACCCGCGTTTTCAGGACATTAGAAAACACGCAATAATTAGAAAAATAAAGAACACATCCTCCCAGTGGCCGACTCGTAATTTACATTTTTTCCAGTGGCAAAACCGTCCTACCACATATTTTGCTTTACGATGTAGCCACCATCCCTCTTCTTCGCTTTCATGTTTCTGTTTCATATCAATTCTCCCTTACTGTCCCAATAGAACTCGGTCCAGTCAATCCGGTTCTTTTTTCATTCCTACGCAGTCCGACTTTGTTTCCAGTGCAGAGGTTGGACAAAGCGGTGTCGTATCGATGACGTCGGGGACGAGATTGCCGACATGGAAAGAGAGGGAGAATAACAAGCGGAGGGAGCGCCGGCGAAGGGCGATCGCCTCCAAGATCTTCTCGGGCTTGAGGATGTATGGTAATTACAAGCTTCCCAAGCACTGTGATAACAACGAGGTTCTCAAAGCTCTATGTAATGAAGCTGGCTGGATCGTTGAAGAAGATGGAACCACTTATAGAAAGGTACTGTTCAAATTTAATTCCTCCGATTGTCCAATTAATATTTTTTTTTTAACATTTTGATCACGAGTTTCATATAAGTTTCTGAACCACTTATAGAAAGATACTGTTCAAATTCAATTCCTCCGATTGTCCAATTATCAATAATTTTTTTAACATTTTGATCAAGAGTTTTTTAAAAGTTTCTGAATTTGATTAAAAAGTTAAAAATGAAGACTTTTTGAGTTCGTAATCGGTAGAGGTTCTGAAGAGTTTCAATGCGTGGTTGCGTGCTAAAATGCACTGGATATGTTATCGGGTGTAAGCTGCTGATTAGACCGGCAGGTGATTTGATGCATAGCATAAAGTTGTTCGCTTTATGGGGTGCGCTGTATGCATCTGGCGCACAATAGTTGTGGGCGACATCAAATTGAAGCCTGTAGTTTCTTTCAGTAATTATGTTGGCACAAAATTAGGGCTGTTTTGATTATTTGCGAATCACTTCAAATTGTGATTTTACACTGAAGCACACGAACCTCATATTATCTTCATGCTACTTGCCTAATTTGAAATCATAACCCGACAGAATTCCTAAATTCAAGTCTCGTCGTTACCTTTTTAATTAAAATTGTGCACATTTCTTTAACTCGAAGGGTACATAAATTAAATTGTTCAAGAACTTACCAATTTCTTTCTCAAAAGTTAAAAAACTCTTTTGAAAATATAAAGCATGTCAATCATTTTGGTCAAATTAGTGATTGCCCGAGATCTCAGAGTTGATAATCTTTCTTTATTGACCTTTTAGTGAAGCATGGGCGATTTGAGTATAAGGTGGTATTGGATTCCCCATTTCGGCATGCTATTTTTTTTATCACTTTTTAAATCATCATTACACCATTGTTTATGCTGAATGATTAAAATATAGTGGATGTGGATGTGAAATCTTTTGTAGATCGCTTGACATGTTATGGAGAATAATGTTGAGTAGAGCTGTAACAAGCTGTTGGTTATGCAACTGGATAATCTTAGAGTTGATTATGAGACAGGTGTAGGAATCTTAGAGTTGATTATGAGACAGGTGTAGGAATAATTGCTATGTCCTGGTGACATGATTCTACAGATCTATAGTTAAGTGAATAAGGAAGGTGTCCACTTTCTGGTTCATCTCTCAATTATTATGTAAGAGGTAGAGGGAAGCAACATCCCCTTCTTGAGGTGGAGAGGATGATATGGAAAACTAGTGGTCAAATTCGATATGTTGATACACATCTATCAAGGGGTTCGTACCTACCACGTAACCACCTTTTTACATGATGATATTGGCTTACATCTCTTGTAACGTGATTGGCAATATCAGTTGGATTAGACTCGTCTATCAATTTTCAGAATATAACAAACTATAGATGCATAACTATGCCTTTTTGAACTTCATTTGACGAAAAGTGGCAATGATTCAGAGTATTTAAAAAACTGCAGTGCAAACGTGGTTGCTAGACTCACCTGTGTTTTTGAAGTACGAGGAGATGAGTCTCAACTTTATTTGTGTGGCATCACAGTTATTCTTGGACAGTTGTGACATTGCTCAGTATTCCTTTGCTAAGAGCATTTGTGATTGTGTAATACACCTATATGTTGAGATGGTTCACCTAAGGCCTACCTCTCTATCAACAAAGATTAAGCTGAACAAGTTGATCTTTGCTTACGATCGATTCAAGTCCAGCACATGGTTGCAGACAAGAATATATCTTTTGGAGATAGAAAACGATGAGTGGTCAATAATGATTACGTATGCCTTACTTCTAAACAATTCTGCTTTACATCTTGAAGATGTTTTCCAGGTGATTCTATTTTTATGTTTGGGGTGTGTGGATCTTGTAACTCTTCTTCTGGATGCTGAATATAAAGGGAGAAAAATTGAAATGATTGCTTTCTGTTTAATGTTGTATGGCAGATTGCACTGTTTTAGTTTAGAAATAGTTGATCGTCTGATGCCTATCACTTATGATTTACAGCAGGGGACAAAGTCTGCAAATCAATGATAACTTAAAGCATCTCAATCATGTTACATAGCAACTGTCTATAAAGCTGAGTTTAATACTTACTGCGAGGGGGGCATACACATATCATTATATTGCCTCAATCACAATACACTGTTGTTAAGATCACCTGATTTTACTGCTGTTATGTTTTAGCAAATGAATCTTTACATATTTCTTGGAAAGAACAAAATGATGTCTGCAAAACCATTGGATGATTAGTGTTTATTGTTCTTCTAGCAGTTAATGATGTCCCATCTTTTACAGGGATGCAAGCCTGTAGAACATATGAATACCATAGGTGCTTCAGCAACAGTAAGCCATTGCCCATCGTACCAACCAAGCCCAGGAGCAACTTTCAATCCGAGCCCCACTTCATCTTCCTTTCCAAGCCCAGTCTCATCACAATATGCTACTAACGTCATTAATACCGCTGATCCTAATTCTCTTCTCCCATGGCTTAAAAATTTGTCTTCTGGCTCCTCACTCCGTCCATTCAAGCTACGACACATATGTGTCCCTGGAGGTTCAATTAGTGCTCCTGTCACCCCGCCATTGAGCTCACCTACTGCCCGTACACCTAGAATGAAGGCCAACTGGGATAATCCGACAACTGATTCAGCCTTGGGAGGCCAACATTATTCATTCCTTCCCTCGTCTACTCCATCCAGTCCTGGTCATCAAACTCCACTCGATTCAGGATGGCTTTCTGGTGTTCAAACTCCCAATGATGGCAAATCCATTTGGTTTCAGGGAGCCATTTTCAAATGGGGGGTCTCGTATGTGGACCCCAGGGCAAAGTGGGTCATGCTCTCCTATTGTTCCAACAGGTTTTGATCAAACAGCTGATGTTGCCATGTCAGATGCAATTGCGGCCGAGTTTGCATTCGGCAGTAATACCAAGGGACTAGTGAAACCATGGGAAGGAGAGATAATCCACGACGAATGTGTTCCTGATGATCTTGAACTCACTCTTGGGAACTCAAGCACCAGCTAGATTGTTTACTCTTTTTGATTGGTTGGGAAGAAAAGGAAAACATGAAAAAGTAAAAAGAAAAAATATATAAACAGGTCTCTTTCTGTCTATTCTTTCTTTTGTTCATGTTAAGAAGAAACAATAATTTAAAGTATAAACTATAATTAGCTAATGTAGTTACCTCTCTGCTCATTTTGTAAGCAGGTTTTCTTGAATCATATTTTACTCTGCAAATTCTTTTGATTCTATTTCTTTGCAGTACTGAATACTAATGTTGATTGTTATGGTGTAATGATTTTTTCTAATTAGAATGTACTATGGATGTCTAAAAATTATAGATTTGGTTACTGATTTCTGGTTAAACTCGTGCATCTAAATTGTTATTTCATCTCTTAATATTTGTATTACAATAGCTTTTTAATGTCATTATTCCACTGTTGAAAAAAAAAAAAATGAAGTAACTGCTTCTTTCGATTACATAATGTACAAAAATAGAAATGCCAAATTCTCCAACTCCCCGTCCCCCGCCTTGCCTAGGGATTTCGGGAGGTGAGATATCCCGTTTAAAATTTGATTTAAATTTAAATACATGATATAATAATTTTAAATAAAAACTAGAAGTAGGGAGAAGAATGTGAACTTTTTACCATTCATTAACTGGTGGTATAATACTAGATTAGTTAAAATGACGCAATGGCCTATTAGCTCAGTTGGTTAGAGCGTCGTGCTAATAACGCGAAGGTCGCAGGTTCGAGACCTGCATGGGCCATTTCGTTTTTCTTAGTTTTGATCTTCCCTGGTATATGAAATACATCATGTCCTTTTTGCTTTTCGTTATTTACGTATATTATCTATCACCTGGTATAAATTTCACACACACAGGGATCAAGAATACCAAGTTTTCTCTGTTTTCCCCAATTTTTCTACTGTTTTTTTCTTTACCCAAAACCCCGATTCACAATTACACAAACTCTAAATTTTTACTGTAATGGAAATAATGAATCTTTTAAGCTTCTATTTCTGCATTATTTTAGTATTAATCTCTTTCTCTGCTCCGTCAAACGTCGTCGTATCTGTCGCCGGTGTTCCGAATAAAATCGGAAGAACATCATCCGAACCAGGAGCTTCTACTTATACGACTCTCAAGAACGATAATCGGGTCGACCCATCAAGTGATTGCGGGCAATTTGGCTCCAGATCCGAGTGCGCCAAGATTCCAAATTGTCGATGGTGCAAAAGCGACGCTCTGGATGACATGTGTTTTCCGAAGTATGAAGCTTGGCGGTTGCCGTCCCAGGTCTTTTCTTGTGAGTTATAATTAATTCCATCTTAGACCGAGTGGCGAAATTCGAGGTTTAAATTCGTTTTGTTTTTACAATTTTTTTAACTTTATGAGTGTATTTTGTATTGTTCTGCAATGATGAGTCGTGCATTGGCTGTATTCATGAGATTTAGCTTGAATTGTGATAATTTACATGGTTACAGAACATTTATAATGAGGAGGCTTTGAATTGGGATGATTGTGTTTGAATAGCTTATGATTCATAATCCCATGACATACTTGATTTTTCTTTTTTTGAGTGATTATGATGTTCTCAGAGTAGCTTATGGGGTTTTTAGAATGAAGATTGCCTTATTTTCGGAGGTTTATGTTGTTGCAAAGTGCCAAACTTCTGATTGAGACAAAATACCTTGGGACGATCTGATAGATTTATATTGAATCAGAAGACATTCGGATACTTTGAAAGACACAACTTTTTCTCTGCTTTATGATTGATAAGTCATGAATCATAAGTATGATTTCACTGTTATGATTGGGGAACTGTCTATCAAGTTATGGTTATTGCTGTAATGTGATGTATAATTTGTATAATCATGAACATTTTGTCTCAACGATGCAACATTCTCTGGTGATAGCCCCGCTTGACTGTGAATAAAGGGGCTTCTTTAGTTTGAATTGCGAAGGATTCTTCATCCTCCCTGGTTTTTTCTCTTCTTTTTGTGGTAATAGATGCATTTGGCCAGTCTTTTTCCTATACATGCTGCTCAGTATCTCTTCTTTTCCATCATCTAAGTTGCTTTGAAAATTTTGGTAGAAGGGTCAGTCAATCTATCAGCGTATTTCACCATTTCTGTTCTGAAGTGGTCTGAGCATCCTGAACAGGACATGGTGTGAAAGCCGAATGTGAGATTCAAAAATCATTTGCGACTTATACTGCAAAAGTTCGAATATTAGAATTGAGTGTGATGAGGTGTTTCTTGCACAATGGTGATTTTGATCTTGAGATTTTGCATCTGGAATGTTACAAGTTGCTTGGTGCAGATAGCCCAGTCATTAAGACAGTTTGCATGGACATTGTTACGTCGATACTCAAATGTTCCCATCATCTGTCATAGAACTTAGTCCTTGTTTGGCTTATATAGAAATCAGTTTTCTTTATAGATTTTGATAAAAGTTGATGGAATATGTGGTTGTAAAGTTGTGGCTCCCTCAAATGTGTGGTTAAAATAAATTATTAACTTTGAATTAGATTATAATCTAAATTTTTAGTTGAACCAAACAGCGCTTAGTGTATTTGGTCGCTTAGACATATCTCTCAGCCGATATACTTACAGTTGATCTTTTAATTTTTTTTAGTGGATAACACAACACAGAAGATGGTCTCATCCTTCTATTTGTGGCAAAAGCAGATTTTCCATTGTGGTCAATGATGCTCTAGTTCATTGCATTAGTCTGTGTAGCTGGCGCCCGATGACCCACGGGACGCTCTTTATCAGATAAATAAGATATTTGAAGTTTTCCATTTCTTGTACTGTACTCAGCATTCCAAGCTAACAGATAGAACTCTCATATGGCGATCCAGAAGGTAGACTAAAAATAATACTCGATAGTATTAAGAAGGAAGGGATGTACAATGCTAAGTTAGTCTGGTTACTCTGGACCGAATCCCAGTTCTGTCTTGTTGATTGGTTAAGCATAGCAGCTTGAAGTGGAGCATATGTCACACTTCCTTCATTTGCACTTACACGTTGTACTGGCTGCTTCTATTCAGTATTGTGGACAAAATATGCACTAGTGTTCCATTTAGGGTCCGTTTGATTGTAAGAATGAAATTTGGGTGGAAAGAAGATGAATTTAAGGGAATTGAATTATCTAGAACTTGTTTTACCGAGAAATATTTGATTGATAAAATTTTCCACCTAGAAAATATTGAAATTTTGGATTTTTTGGTATTCATTTGACTTTGTTTTTCATGGAAAATGAAATTTAGTTTCCATCTTCCATACAATTGAAGTGCAATAGAACAAAGTCTTAGGATCCGTTTGATTGCAAGAGTGGAATTTGGGTGGAAAGAAAATGAATTTCAGAGAATTGAATTGTCTAGAATTGTTTTTTTGAGAATTGTCAATTATTCGTATTTGATTAATATAATTTTTCATATAAAAAATATTGAAATTTTGGATCTTTTAGCGTTCGTTTGACTTTGTATTACATGGAAATTATCCATTAAAGAGAAGAATTATTTTACAATTGGGGATATCGTTTGTTTAAATTGTCAAAAAAAAAAAAAATGCTGGAAAACCACCAAAACCATGGAAAAACAAATTCAACGAAAATGGTGTCACGTGAGGTGAAGTTGGAAAACCAATTGCCTGGGAAATTTTGGCTATCAAACAATCAAAAATGTGAAAAATGGAAAATATTTTCCAACTTTCATGAAAAATTTTACACATCAAACAGGGCCTTAATGTAATTTGAAAGATTACTAGGAAATCCAAAAATGATAAGAGCTGCTAAAAACAGTTGACAGTGAACAACTGAATATTTGATAATTTGTACACTTGATATTCCCAGTTTCCTTTCTGATTTCAAATTGAACACGATATGTTCAAAATTGTATGCAGGCTGGTTTGAATAGAAAACTAAAATAATAAATATAACTACAAAATAGAGAATAAAGATATAACTGAAACTAAGGGGCCGTTCTCTTCGGGTTTCAATTTTGTGTTTTGTGTTTTGAAATCATTTTGTATTTTGTATTTTGAGTGTTCATTTTGAGATTATTGAAAACTCGTTCTTTTTGTCATTTTGTAAAAACATTTCTCAAAACAATCAATCCCAAAATTTGTTCACATGGTTTTCTATTTTCCCATTCTCCAAAATCGCCCCCTCCAGAGTCACCATTTCTTCCTCACAAACCGGCCACCATCCACCGTTTCTACCTCACAAACCGGCCACCATCCACCACAACATCATTCTAACCCCCTGACCTGACCTCCCTCTACAACGTCCACCGATTAATTGATGGAAAATCAGCCAGAATCAACCAAAAAAATCGTAGTAGCACTCACTGTTTTGACCTATAAACACCGTCGCCGGCCACTTTTCTGATCGCGGACCACCACCAATCTACTCCTCTCAACAAGGCGCATCTAATTCTACCATGGGTCACCTTCGATTATCTCCAGAATCGGTTGATCTGATCTCATGGAAGCCGCCTTCGATATCTCTCCAGAATCGCCTGATTTTATGGAAGCCGTAGGTGAGTTTTGAAGCCATGGTTGGAGTCGGATGGGTGTGGGCCATTGTCCGGAGGTGGTGCGCGACCTTCAGTGTTGTTGGAGGTTGAGTTTCTGGCATAAGCAGTTCATTTCGAATCAGTTTTTGAGGATATTTTTTTTTCGATTTTGGTATATGATTGGATTGTTGTTTGTGTTGTAATTGAAGAGGGGATTGAGGGCTTCACAATGGTATATAACTCCAGCCGTTTTGGAGGAGGTTGGCCGGACTTTGCAGGGTTGGAAAGTGGCGGTGGAGGATGGAATGGTAGAAGAAAGGAGGAGAGTTTTGGGCTGTTTCCTGTTTTCCAATTTGTGATCCCGTGTTTTCCAATTTGTGAAGGAAACGGCCAAAACGACTTTTTAGCCGTTTTGCGTTTTCTTCAGAAATTTTTTTTCTGTTTTCCAAAAGCCGTTTTCGAAAATGACATAGAGAACGCGTTTTCGTCGTTTTGAAAAATCGAAAACAGAAAACGGCCCCAAAACAGCAAAGAGAACGGCACCTAAGCTTCTACCTTCTTTTCACCTCCTTGATCAGCAAGATAAACCTTCACAGCATCCCTCATGTCCTCAATAGAATCACACCCTTCAAAGAATTTAATCAACTTCTTCAATTCCCCATCTTCAAGATCATCGACAAATGGTCGAATCGGAATTGCATTATCGGGCTGAAGCACGTATGAATTCGGGTTGTCATCAATGATGGCCACTCGCCCTAGATCCCTCCCTATATCAGACAAGTCCTTGACGAATTTCCCATCGACTTCCTTGCATGAATCCCGGTATAGTCTATGAGATATCCGGGATCTCCAATCCAACCTATCGAGCACGAGTGAGGCATACTCCTCAATACCTGCAGTGAACACCACAATCTCAAATCTCTGGCTTAAAAAATCCAAAAATTCATCCACAAATGGCCTCTTCAACACGTAGAATTCGACCTTTTCTCCATCAAACACTGGCCTAACAATGAAATCGTACTTCTCTGGAGGCAGGATTGGCTTGGAATGCACCAGGGTTTCATCTAAATCGAGGAAAATAGTCTTCTTCTCAGGCGAAAGCAACGGTGGTAGAGGGATCTTATCATTAAACAGTGATCTTCGGGCAGAATTTGGCGGGTCAGCAGGGACTTTCTGAAGGATTTGGTACCCTTTCTTATGTCGTGTTTTCTTTGGCGTGGCAATGCAAGCTAATTTTGTGAAAATCTTGATAAGGCGGCGCTGGCAAGTATAAATAGACTTGTTGATGGAAGCAACCACGGCAGAGGCGGTGGCGGAGGCATTCTTGATCGGAGACTTCTTCCTGCCACGGCGGCACTGCTGAGTGAGGTTTCTCCTTTTGTTGATGGATTTTGTGGGAGTTCTCTTCACAATTTTGGACACCATTTTCTTAAGAAAACACAAATCTGAGAAAATTGCACAAAATTTTCAAGAGGAAAATCCGGGGTTGGGGGAACATAAAGGTTTTTGAAATTAGGTTCGGGTACAACGGTCGAGTTATTTTTGGTTCGGAAACTAAGCTGTCCAAAATAAAGACAAAAAGAAGCAAAATTGCCCTATTAGCTCCCAATCTAGTGGAGTACTAGCAAGTTGACACTCATTCTTTAAAACGATGGATGTTGACCTTCAACACTTAGTTACAATTGCACTATTACGAAAATTATTTACATTTGCATTAAATGATCACATGACCTTCACATATCTGATTTCATGAAACTAAATTTTATATTTGAACTTGGACTAATATCCTAAACAGGATCACATAACAATTCCATAAGGCAAATAATTGACTTTTGCACTGGTATTCAAATTATTATTATTTCCATTATCCATTAGTGAGTCACCAACAATGAAGTAGCAAGGAAATTTTGGTTCAGCAGAGACTAATTGTGATAGTCCCACAATGAAAAACCAGAATTTTAGCTTATTTTCCATTGTTGAAGGAAATTTTTGGTCAAAGTGGCTTATTGAAAACGAGTGGTAGACAGGGACCATAAGACTGGCAACTGGTAATATATATTGGGACCATAAGACTGGCAACTGGTAATATATATTGGGCATGGCAGGGCTGGGGTACCTCTCGATAATTAGTAGTAAATGATAAGGACAATCTTGAACTTCATTTTTTTTTCCATTCACGTGCCTGTTTGGGCCGGATTAAAATATATTTAATTTTAATTTAAGTCAAAGCCAAACAATCAATATTAACCACATCTTTTATGGATTTCACATTTTTTCAACTACACATTTCAAAAACTTATATCATAATCCACTAAAAATCTAATTTTAATTCCCACCAAACAAAAATGTTGCCAAATATGGAGAGTTCATTATTTCACTTATTGGATCCTTGTCATACAAATTCAAATAATTGTATCTTGCCAACTCATATTTCAAAAGATTCCTTTAGTATTTAGGTGTCTCCCGCTTAGATTTTGACAAATCTCAACTAAATAAATGTCATCAATAACTTGTGAATTTATAAATATTTCATTAATTGAAAAGATTTTAAATGATGTTTGCAAATTAAACTAATTTTTAATTTATTGATATTTATTTACTTGATTTTGTATATTGTAATTTTTTTTTCAATTTCTATTATGAATTCAGCATCAGCAAGGAAATTTACTTGCTTTGCAAAGAATCTACTTGCATCGAGAATAAAACAACCGTCCAGAATTTAAACCAACAACCAAGATTCATCTATGTGTCGTAATCCAGTTGAAAGTGTGATTTTATAAAGTGCATTTGCAAAGAATCTACTTACATTGAATCTTTGATCAATATAGTGATAAAAGGACAAAACGAAGGAAAAGAGATCACGCATTATCCATATCAATAACAGAAGTATAGTATGAATAATCTACAAGAAAAATTCCTATTACGAATTCAGCATCGGCAAGGAAATTTTCACGGGTCTACTAAAATGACAATCTATATATTTATAACAAAATACTTCTTAACACTTATTTTCCAAGTTGAAAACAACCCTAGTTGTAGTATTTTCAGGTTTATGATACCATACTCATAATATTCTTGTAACAATATTACAAAGGCTTTTAATTTTTTTTTCATAAAGCTAATATATAGTTGTATTGCAAAGCTAGATGACTTATATCCGTTGGATAGGCATCGGTTGGTAATGTTGCATTG